CACCGCCTCGCTCCTAGGTTGTCGCTCCGATCACTTCTTCTCCTCCAGATCGACTGGCAAACCTGACGGCAAACGGTCTGGTCCGACGCTGGCTGGTGACGAAGCGAGGGTCGAGCACCGTCGGATTCGTCTCACCGAAGGCCCGCTGGAACGTTCGGCGGGTCGCTGATGCGCCGAATCTGGGTCCTGCACCGATTTTAACCAGCTCGTTGAGCCGAGGACGCAAGGGGGCCGTGGTCGTGGAACTCAAAACAGGTCTCGCGCGCGCACGAGCACAATCCCGCTTCCTCTTCGCCGCTTGAGCCCCTTTCCCCCCTTCGCCACACTCTGACATCGTACCTACCGTCCTCTGCTGACCACCGCCACGACGGCTTTTGGTGGTGCCGCCTGGCCGCTTCTTCTCGACTCTGTTTGTACCGGTACGTGTACCAAACATCAGCAGCAGCGGTGGTCGGACTTGGAGCCCCGTGACGCAGACGAAGTCCAGCCGGCCCTTCTCGCGAGACCAAGGAGGCGGATTCGGACCGGCTCCGCCGACCCGTGGCATCCTCGGCACGCCCCGCCGTGCGAATGACAGACTCGTAAGGTGATATCCGGCCGAAGATACAGAAAGTAAGCTGCTCTGTAGTGTGTCTCTCGGTTGATGCCTGCAAAGGAACATGGCTAGGCGTTCCGCTACAGCACCGCCGCTGGCTGGCGTGGGTACGTTACCTACGGTGACACCAGCCCCGCCCTGACTACTCCAACGGCCCGCCGTCGTGGCGACAAAGCGACCACTCTTAGCCGTGCTAGCGTGGGCCAAATTTTCGCTCCGGCGCCTGCATTGCGGTTCGAGTCCGTGCATCTGACAGCTCGCCAGCGCACACCAACGCGCGATGCGATCGGACCGCCCGTCGACCAAGCCTTCCTTGGGCTAGTTCTGGGATGCCCGCTCTCCCCGTCCCTGACAGCCCCACCCTGCCTGAAAGCCACCCTCCCTTGGAAGCGCGCGGTGCCTGGGAAGATACATACATAGGAATCGTCCCAAGATTCGGTGACAGGCCGTCCATCGGCTCGAGGCGAGCGCGCGCGAGGCGGATGTCAGGTTGTTCCGGCGTGGGGTCGCGCGAGATCTCGACAGCTTGAGGGTCAAGAGTGTCTCTGACACCGACCTCATCTGCGCTCGCCATGCGGGGTGGTACTGTGCTTTACTACCCACCTAGCGGTACATACGGCTGGACCCTCACAAATGACCGCTCCTTGCTCCGATCTCCCGGAACGAGGGGGCTCGTGCCAAGGGCTCTCTGGGCTTGTACACGGCCCCCCGCCGCGAAGGATCCTTGCGTGGTAAGTACCGCAACGCCAGCCGACGCCATTCCTACCGGCGAAGCGGACGACGTGAAAAGGCAAGCTAACGATGATAAGGCAGGCAAGGCGCGAGGTGGCCTCGCGGTTGCCCCTTGGCAGAAGTTATGCCCGCCGCCACAAAGATGGAAACAGGCAACGGGAAGGCGCCATGGCAACCAGCCAAGCCAGGAATCGCTGTCTGCCACTCTTTTATCTGTGACGGAAGGTGGACGGTATTCTGGCGACCCGCCTCTGTCGTTTGTCGTCCTGTCGCCTGCTCGGTTGGCTGGGTATCAGCAGGCATACGCCGAACCCTCGCGGCGAGAAGAAGGCCTGAACGTGCAGTAGTCAGCCTGTACGGTATCAAGGTGGCGGCATGGTTGCGTAGCTTGTGGCACAGATCGGAGATGCGAGGGCAAGCTACAGGCAGGGACCCGCCTTCCTGCCTACAAACAAAAGACGACGACTGTTCAGGGCAGGAAAGGGCGCTAAACTTCCGTACGTGCTTCGATGAGAGCACACGGATGAGGGCGGGCCCTCTCGAGGGACCTGTGCCCCGGAGCCAAACGGCATGATCATCTGCAGAGATCACGCCTGCGCGGAGAAGGGATCGGGATCACGTCGAGGCCAGTGACGAGGTCTTTGTTGATGGCAGGAACCTTGCCGCCGCAGCGAGACCTCCTGGGCTAAGGCTCGCGATCTCGGACGGTCGTCATTGCTTATTGTCGAGCTGTCGCAAAGATGCCGGTGTCTTGGGCCCCCCTTGCTGCCTGTCGTTGTGATACCGTCGTAGCGTGATGGTGGGGCTTGGGCACCGCCAGCCATCCACTAGCTTAGTGCCACGGGACCGCATGTCAGGGGTCGAGGGAGGGAACCAACTCGCTTGCACGCCGCAGTGCCTGACCAGCCTCTTGGCTGCCAGTTGCCACGGGAAGAAATGCCCAGCCAGCGAGCGTACCAGGGATCGGGCCATCGCCGTTGCGATGTCGAAGTCGACGCCGATGGAGACAACCCGATCTGATTCTCGCCATTCATCCTTCGGCCGTCCCTCATGTGCAGCTATGCGTGCAAGTCGGAGCTTCTTCCCCGTGTGTTCTTCGTGTCAGGCCTGCTCTTCCGAGTGCGTCGGTTGCCCTCGTTTGCCTGCGGCGCATCGGCGGACGAGAGAGCAGCTCTGACGGTCTTGTGCCATCATACAGCAGCGCAGAGCATGCGACGGCTCTGGAGAAGGGTGCATCGCTTGCCATTCCAGATCTTTCGGCCACGTTGGCAGGAAGCACAGCGGCTGCCCGCGTCGACAGCGAAGCCGCTAATTACATACCTGAGCAACCATCATGTCGCGAACGGGCGAAGAATCTCCGGTAGCAATCAAAGCGCACCACAGGCAGGTACGAGATAGAGTGCTCAGCGCCGACGAGGGCGAGAAGGAAGTTAGGCCGAGCCGAGCCGTGGACCCTAGCCAGGCTGGGTGGTCCCCAAGGGCTCCTCCTGCCAGCCTGTCGTCGTCGGTACCTGCTGCGGCTTGCTTCTCATACCCTGAGCGTGGAACACGCCCCGCTCCGCGCAGCCTTGACGATGTCGTCGGCGCCGCGAGACGGCTCGGACACGAAGCATCTTTCTTCGCCGAGGCGCGTGGCAGCGTCTCGTCCCTGTTTGATGCATGGAGCGGACGTTGATCGATTTGTTCCCCCCAGTCGGACCTGGACGCCGAGGCAGGTCGTATGACTCCGCCATGGGTGGACATTGACCCGGGCGCTCCCAGATAACGAACCTCCGACGAGTGCTGCTGTAGGGGTGGTACTGCCAGCATGGAAACACCGAGCGAGCGCCTCGTCAAGAGGGCCGGCCGACGTGTTCCCAGGTCGGCCTTGACCGAGGCCTTGCGAATTTGATCCCCTTCAAGCCCCGCCCGCAGGCCCGCCGCAGTCGGTGCCGCGTGGCTGCCACGCGTGGCGCGAAAGCTTCCTAGCTTACCGGCTTGTCTTGATCCTGGCTAGCTGGTACCGGTACCTGCCTCGCCCCGACCTCTCCTTCGTGTAGAGCACCGTGCGTCCCTCAAGGTGGTCCCCGACACTTACGATGCATTTCCACATCAGATGCCGATACGCCGGTCATCGTGACTTGCTGCGCTCGACGTGTCGTCGGCCTCCGACCCTCCTTCGATGCGCAAGAGGCCGAGCGCCCACCCGCCAGGCACCCGCGCTCGTTGCGGTCCTTCAATGGCCCGTTCGGAGAAGACGACGCTGCTATACCGGCATGGCTACTTCGGTATGGTTCCGCCGTGTCGAGCCCTGGTCCGATCATGCTAGCTAACCACACCTTCTTCTTGCGCCGAGAGTGGGCGGCTAGAGTTGACACGCCCTCGGCTGTCCGCGTCAACGCCGCGCTCTCGTCTCACCGCAGGTCCATCGTTGCCCTTCCGACGTCCAAGTCGGCGCCTCACGCAGCTCGGCATCGATTCCGCTCCGACCGACATCCTTCTGGAAACAGCGCTGCGCCGTGTGTCCCCCTGGTCCTGGGTACGCCACGCGAGGCGGATGCCACTCTACGCCAGGCCCGAAGACCGGCCTGCCTGTCCTCGCGGATCGCGTCGTACCGCGTCGTTCGTTCCGCCGCCCGCTCGCTCTTGCCTATGGGAAGGAAGGTGCCCGGTGGTCCGGCCCGAGGCCGCGGCCCTGGCCGGAAGTCGTTGTGAGCTGGCCTTTGACTGCGGATCGTGGCGGGGGTCCTGTGCCCGGAGCCGACGAGCTTCCCCTACGGCCATGCGCGACGCCATCCACTTGGGGATCGCGAGGATGGGTAGACGCCGACAGTAGCAGGGGTGTCCGTTGCTCGTAGGCCGTCTGGTGACGAGGACGACCAGATAGGGTCGGCGGGGGTGAAGCAGAGCGTGGTTGCAGGGAGAGAGCCAGCATTTTCGCCTGAATAATCGGGCGGATTCTACCAGCTCGTGTTCGAGACTGGCCAGCTGTGGGCTCAGGCGCAGGTGCTCGCTCACAATCTCCATCGAGACATCACGACACGCGCTTCGAAGCTCATCACCACGCCATCTGAGCGCCTCCCATCATCAAGCCTGGATCGAGTCGCTGGACCGCCGGCGAGCACGACGACGGCGGTGCAGGCCCCTGACCCTCGTCTCGTACGAGACGGCGGCCCGATCCGGCGAACTCAGATCGTGTGAGGCTGGTCCGATGGGGCAGGCTTGGCCACGCAGACCAGCCTGGCGAACCTACATACCTGTGCGTGTCATGCAGGGAAAGCTCGGATGCGCAACTCCGCCTCTCGGCCTTGGCTCGCGGGTGCTTCATGATGCGGTATGCCCTGGTGAGCCCAAAACACGAGCTGGCCCTGAACGAGCTAACTCCCGCCACCTTCTCTTCCTCCTCCTCTCCATCGACACCGCCGCCACCGCCCGTCGATGTAGCGCCCCGTCTTTGGTCCCGAACAAATTGCAACTTCGACCTCGAATTCGACCTCGATCTCGTATTCGTCGCAGCTTCCCGGTCGACGGCCTCGATGCAGCCTAGCTCAATCTAGGGCCAGGCTGCGGATACAGATACACCCGCGGTGGCACGCCCGCACGCACACAGGATTCCATCGGTGGCCGCCGTGGGACAGCCGGACGACACCAAGAAGCGCAACAAACCGTGCCGGATGCTCGCTGGTCCTCCACAATGACGATGGCTGCCGCCGAACAGAGCGCGGCCACGCCGCCGACGCCGACCTCCGCCGGATTGTCGGCTCGGCCGCACCACATCGACCTCTCGTCGCTGCGCAACGGCGCCGGACCCATCCCGCTGCACGCCGGCGGCGTCGAAAAGCACGTCGAATTTGACGGCGTGTGCATGGTCATACCCAACGTCGACCACAAGCAGCTCCGCAAGCTCCTGCGCCTCTACGCATCGGGCCGCGAACAGCACGTCGGCCAGGGCGCCGGCAACGGTGACAAGGACGGGGCGGAGCCCGCCGCGGCGCTCCGACCCGCCGCATCTAAGCCGTCGAGGCCACGCTACGGCATGCGCCTCGTCAGCGTGCCCCTCTCGCCCGGCCAGTGGGGCGGCGGCAACATCCGCTCCTCGCTCGCCAACCTCAACCTCGGCTCAAAGGTCGATCTGACCGCCGTCGCCAGCGGCCTAGCACCGGCTTCGATCTCGGTCGGCGGCACCCCTTCCCATCGCGCCTCCTCGAGTTCTACCAGCGTCAACGAGCTCAGCGAGCCGGAGCGGCCGGAGCTCGACGAGGGCCGCTACAGGAGGGCCAGGTCGCTCTCCGACGACGACCGCTGCCTGCGGACCAGACAGAGGTCCACGTCGCCGTCTGACCAAGGCCACGCCGAGGGCAAGGGCCATCCGGTCGAAGCCTCCAGCCCGCGCGTTCTGCGCATGAAGGTGCCCACCTTTGGAGGATGGCGCAGGAGTGCGCCGCTGGCCGAACCGCCGCAGAAGGGGTGCCTGCTGAAGCGCAAGAAGCCGGTGATTGGGCCAACCGCGGCTGCAGCGACCCAACAGGCTGCCACGCCGTCGCCCGTCCTGGAAGGCTCAGAGGGGAACATGCGCAAGCGGTTCGAGGGACCTCCCGTCCGTGCCAGCGCCCCGGAGGGATGCGCCTCCTTCGCATCGGCCTTGCCGACGGCGCCGCCCGCCAGGTCACCAGGCCCCGGCGCGCTGCTGCGCCGTGCAGGCTCCCTCGGTCGACGTCCGAGCGCACGCCGCAAGGGCAGCGAACTGTCCGAGGTCGAGGCTGGCGACGGCTTCGCGGCCGGCACCGCCGAGACATCCGTCTCAGACGCCTTCCCAGCGCAACTCGACGATGCCAGCGTCAAGCGGGAACTGAAGCTCGGTCGCTGGCCGTTTCAGGAACCGCTGAATCCAGAGTGCAACTGCAAGGACTGCGCCGAGAGCATCTCGCTCGTCAACGTGCAGGGCTACCGGCCGCACTGGTCCAGGTCGGCACGAGCCAAATGGCTGGCGGACCGAAAGGAAAGGGAGGCGCGCGAGCAGCTCGTCACGGGACTCTCGGCGCCAGCGACGCCCCGCAGTGGCGCCGCAGCGGCCCGTCCGTCGAGCCGAGGCAGGATCCAAGCCGACGAGATGGATATCAAGATGGGAACCGGGTCGCGTCCGCAGACGCCGGAGGAGGAAGAGGAGGAGGGTGAAGCCGAGTCCGAGGCCGAGCCCGAAGCAGAGCCCGAAGCAGGGACAGAGGCAGGCGAGCAGGGCGAGGGGACGCAGCAGGTGCCCAAGGAGGCCGACCTCGCGCCAGGCGATGAGAGCAGGCCAAAGGACGTTCCCAACGCCGTGGACCCGGCGCAAATGGATGCTACCGCCGCCGAGTGGGAGGCGGTCAAGCCGACTGCCGTCGCTCCTGTGGACTCATCCGTCGATGGACCGGCGCACAAGCCGGCAGAAGCGTCGGCAGGACACCCATACCCGAGCCCGGCCACCGTCAAGCCTTCGGGAACGCTGCTAGTCGCGCCGATCGCCAAGCCGGCCATCCCGATCTTTGACGAGGAAGACGACGACTACCTCGAGGGCGACGAGGAGCTGGCCAAGGAGATCGACTCTCGCCGCACCTCGATCGAGAGCCGCAACTCGTACCGGCCGGGCGCGCGCAGCATGATGCGGCAGCTCGACGAGGCCGACCAGATCGAGCGCCAGGCCTCGGTCGAGCGCGAGCGGCGCCGCAACAGCGCCTCGCCCAGCGTCGCCGGCGTCGCTGGGCTCAGCCCGAGGTCGAGCCCCAGTCCACGCCCGGGCGCGATGCATCCGAGGTCGAGTCCCAGCCCTCGTCCCGGCGCGATGAATCCGAGGTCGAGCCCCAGCCCGCGTCCGGGCTCGATCAATCCGTACTTTGACATTCCGCGTCGCGGCTCGCCGCTGGCCCTCGGTCGGCCCACGCTGGGACCTATCTCCGAGGGAAGCGTGCGGTCAAAGGAACAGCCCACTCGACCGCGCGTCTCTCCCCTCCGCGGCGAGACGGGCGAGACGACGGCCGAGGAAGACGAGGCACGCCGCCGCCAGCTCGCCCGGGCCGACCAGCTGCCCCTGACGCCGGGGAGCGATGCCAAGGGAGGCAGCGCTGCCGCCACCCTGGCGCCCGCAGCTGGTAGCAAGTCCAACGGCACCGTCAAGAGGAAGGTGTCGAGGTCCTTCTTCGGCCTCCTTGGTTCTCCTTTCGGTGGCTCGAGCGCTCCTCCCGGCTGAGTTTGACTTGAGAATTCCCATCGCCTCTTTCCCATTAGATCGTACCTGCTCCTATCTCGCGCCCTCGGCCTTTCACTCACAAGATGCCCCTGCAGCCGTCCTGCTTGCTCTCTTCATCCGCTCACTTGCTAAACCCGCTGGCATCCGTTCTGGCCACCGTCGATCTTGTCGCGTCCGTACCGCGTCGTCCCTGTATAGTCGCTACACCTCTAGCTAGACCATCCGATACCCCTTGTCCCACTGAACCCAGCCCGGCAGCGAGCAGCGCGCCAGCGTCGGCCTGTCCGTGCTCGAGCCAAGGTGGAGTGGGCCAAGCCCGGTCCTGGGTGCTCCGGATGCTTCCGATGGTTGCCAAAGGAAAGGGCGAAACCGGAGCTGGTACCGTTCTGTGGCCGGCCAGCAGCGACGGCGGCAATCTCGTCGGCGTCGGCGTCGGCCTGGCCGGGGTGAGGGGTGGCATCGGGCAAAGACGTTCGCCTGTATCGCTGTCACGGCTGGCACGACGATCTTCTCGCTCGAGCCCCCCCACGCCTAGCCATCTTCGCAGCCCCCCACGTCTGTTGATCAGCTGAAGGTCCAGCCACGCCCCGCCACCGCCTCTCTAGCCCCTCCTACGCCAGCGCCTTGACACTCGGTGGCTCGAAGCACAAGAGCAGCGTTTCGGGCCTCAGGGTCGATGAGAGATGGCGGCTCGGGCGGCGCGCAGATCGAACGGCCCTGGACCCGATGGGGCGGCGGCGACGACGACGGCGGCCAGGCAACCGAGGCAAGACGACCCAAGGGCCGCTCAGGCCGACGACACAGCGCAGGCAGGCCGGCAGGCACGCACGCAAAGGCGGCGCCCGCACGGATCAGGGGCTGCAGGGTCAAAGGCAGGCTCCGGATGTCTCCGCGCGGCCCCAGCCTGGCCTGGCCTAGGTAGCAGGCCAGGGCCGGGTGGTCCGCTGGGAAAAACGATGCCATGCCAAGTGGAGTTGAAAGCCGGCTTTTCGCCGCACCGATGCCCCGTGCTCGGCCCTGGCCCTGGCCCCCCCCGCGCGTTGACTTCAGGCTGCTTGCTTCGCTTCGCTCGGACACTCGCCTGCCGGCACGGCGGCCAGCCGATC